GCCGGAAGCTCCTCACAATGTACGCTCCTCACAATGTACTCCCAGAGTACATCTCTAGGAGTCCAACACCTAGAGACTGTACACCAGCCATAAAGAGGGTGGGAGGGGTCTGGTGTCTGCCACTGTCCTGGACGAAACCCAGAGCATTCAGGAGTACATCAGTAAGATAGCACCCAAAGATGAACTGCTGAGAGAATGCCTGAGGCAGCAGCAGACATGGGAGGAAGTTCAAGCAGAGGAAGTACCATTGCAAGACAAGACCCTGCATGAGATGTACCATCGACAGATAGCTAAGGTGGGTGACATTTGGAAGTCCTACCAGTGGCTAGAAAGGGCAGGACTAAAAGACAGCACTGAGGCATTGATCATAGCAGTGCAGTAACAGGTACTACGCACCAGATCCATAGAAGCAGGGGTCTACCACACTAGACAGGACCCAAGGTGCAGACCGTGCAGAGAGGCCTCAGAGACAGTCCAACACATAGTGGCAAGGTATAAGATGCAGGCAGGAACAGCATACACTGAACAGCACAACCAAGTAGCTGGCATTGTGTACAGGAACACCTGCACAGTGTATGGGCTAGACCAGTGTTTCTCAACCCTGGCAACTCGAAGAGGTGTGGACTTCAACTCCCAGAATTCCCCAGCCAGCCATGCTGGCTGGGGGATTCTGGGAGTTGAAGTCCACACATCTTAAAGTGGCCAAGGTTGAGAAACACTGGGCTAGACCCTCCCAAGTCCAGATGGGAGAAGGTCATGGAGAATAACAGGACTAAGATCCTGTGGGGCTTCCAGATCCAGATTGACAGGCAGGTACTGGCCAATCAACCAGACATCGTGGTAGTAAACAAGGACAAGAAGACAGCAGTGGTAATAGATATAGCGGTGCCAAGTGACAGCAACATCAGGAAGAAGGCATATGAGAAGCTGGAGAAGTACCAGGACCTGAACAAGGAATTAGAGAGGATGTGGAAAGTAAAGGCCAAAGTGGTCCCAGTGGTGATAGGAGCACTCGGGGCTGTGACTCCTGAGCTGGGAGAGTGGCTCCAACAGGAACAAACTCAGAGCTCTCTGTCCAGAAGACTGCAGTGCTAAGAACAGCTAAGATCCTGTTCCTCAAACTCCCACGCCTCTGGTAGAGGACCTGAGATTGAGGAAGACATATACCACCTATGGGGTGAGAGGGTTTTTTAAAAAAATAATATTGAAAACATTAGTTTAAATTTCACCTATGGCATAAATATTATCCATAAAGAACAAATATCAATTCATGTATTCATGTATATTCAATAATAAATAACAAATATCAATTCACGTAACTTCAAATGATATGCCATCTGCTAAGTGGTTCCATGGAAAATTTGGCCCAAAGCACAGCAGTACAGTGACAAATTCACAATTTAATCAACATATTATATTTTATTTGATCCAGATCTGGCCACTTTGGTGATGAAATCAATGCATTCAATACATGAAGACTTGCTAAAAAAGATTTGAAGGAAATATTATGTCACAAAGAATTTCATTTGTTTCATCCAGTTCAGACTGCAAATCCTCTTCCTATACTTTAAACTTCTTTAAAAGTTCAAAGAAGCCTAATATATTTATGTTCAACATATTTAATATTGAAAAGGTTTATTTTATTTAAATGAAGTGGATATATGCTATTCTTTAAATATTGCTGTTGACTTTAGTTCATGCGATCTGACAAGCTTAATAACAGATTGAAATTTGTATTTCTTTGCAGTGTCAAATATTTTAGACTCTCCCATTGTAAAAAAAAAAGTGTAACTAAAATATACAAATTAAAAATACATTTTATTTACTACAATTATAACCCACTCACTTCTGGTAAAACCACCTGTAGTAGTTTTTTTGAAACCTTTTAGAATACTTATACTGTATGAAATTGAAATTTGCATATTACAAGTCTTTGAAATACAGTCTCTGAGATGAAAGAACTTCAAAAATAAAATACTCATTTAGCTATAATGACATCTTATAAAACAAATTTGATTAAGCAAAAACAAATGAGGTATTTAACATGATATTAACATGCTCCTGAGAACCATTCACTTTAAAAGTTCACTGTGAAATTATTAGCAAAGAACAATAATTATGGAGTCCTTGGGGTTATCTGAGCTTGGTTGTTTTCTGGCAAACATTTCATTACCTGGCTGGGTTGCTAGAAGGAAGTGGGGTTTGCTCTCTGTTTATATACAGTGACTTGCCTGTGTTGGTGTTTTTGGGGGGTTTTTTGATTGTTGACTGCTTGACTGTATGTCTGGTGATAATCTTGATGTGAATCTCTGCTTATCTGGGTGATGACTGCTGGTGAGGAAATGTTCTGGTCTTTTGTTTTGTTTCCTTTTTATTGTCTCCTTTGAATACTGTGTAGATGTTGTTTATCTCTATGTGCCTGTTGATGCTACCTTGTCTGAATACCAGGCTTCCAGGAATTTCCTCACATTTTTGGATTTAGCTTGGTCTAAGATGCTGACAGTTTCCCAGTTGAAACTATGGTTATGTTGCAACAAAGCAGCCATAAAATGATACGACTAAAGGTCATGGATGCACACCTCAGACTTAACAAATAGCAGCATACCGTAGACAACCTCAGGGAGCAACTGGGAGAAACCACGACCCCAGAGCACACAAATATACTGACAACCACCATCAAAACCACATCCCTAAGACAAGCTAAGAAAAGAAAAACAAAACTTCAAACTAAACTGCCCTAACCCTAACCCTAGCCCCAGAAACAAAGAGGTACCTGAACCTTGAATGGGTAATCAACATGTTCAGCTGAACACTATCCACTGCAGAACACAGTATCCTCCAGAAGGGCCTCAACTATAACATGGACAATGCTAATCAGCTAGAATTCTGTGCAACCTTAGAAGCAGCATTTAAAACTACAGAACTTAACACGAGACCCAAGAAAACATAAGGCAGACAATCATGCTACAGATCAGAAGAACACAGTATCAGCACCAACTCCAAGCAGAGGACGCAGCAGCCCTCAAAAGCCTAAGGAAGGACCAAACCATCATCATCCTCCCAGCAGACAAAGGCCAAACTAGAGTTATTATGAATAAATCACAATACTTGCAAAAAGCAAAAAAATTATTAGAGGACAAAGAAACCTACATCCCAGTTAACACCAACCAGAAACTAGGGAACCTAATCAAGAGAACCCTTAACGACCTAACCAAGAAAGATCATATCACAAAAGAAGAACAGTGGCAGATGAAAAGCAGTGGACTCTTCCTCCCATGTTTCTATGGACGACCAAAAATACACAAGCCTGACATACCTCTCCGACCGATTGTATCTTTACCAGGACTCCAACATACAACAGTGCAAAAGAACTGACAAAAAAGCTTGGACATCTCACAGAGGGGAGCGAATATTCTATCAACTCCTCACTACTGTGCCTCTAGAAAATCAAAGATGTACACATAGATGAAGATGAAATTATAGTCTCATTTGATGTCACAGCACTCTTTACATCCATAACCCCATAACTAGCAAAAGAATCCAAGTCAGCAATGCTACATGAAACCAGTAAAGAGAATTGTAGAAATGACTTCATTCCCAGTGTGTTTCTGGGAAATCTTGTTATCAAGGAAATTTTTTTGTAGGGCTTGAAATAACTCCTGGGAACAATTTATCTTCCAGGTTCAAATCTGGAGATGACCTTGGCACAAGTGATTGGTTTATTTATGTATGTATGTATTGATTGTTCCTTTCATTTTCCCATGTTGGATTAATTCTGCTTTTGGAAGTAACAACCCAACCTTGCACAAGAGGAGCTGTGTAAGAACATTATTCAAACAAGCGCAA